AGACCCTGTCTGAAAAAACAAACAATAGGGGCTGGGAATTTAGCTGAGCAGCACAGTGCCTGCCTGGCAAGTGCAAGGTAGTGAGTTCGATTCCCAGTAACAAAAAAAAAAAAAAAAAAAAAGGAAAAGAAAAACAAACACTAAAAGGAAAGGATTGAAGATTGCTGGGGTGCAGAGCTGCTGTGCCCCACTGGAGTGCAGAGCTGCTGTGCCCCACTTTGGACCCAGAGACAAGTCTCTGCCTGTTTAACAACCACACCTGCCAGGGTGCTTTGTTTTTCCCATGGTGCTTTGCAGTGATCGCTCTGGGCAACATTGGTAAAGACAGGAGAAAAACATATAATCTTCAGGGTGGAGGAGAGCATTTGGATTCATCAATTGATTGTGGTGCTGCGGATGGAACCTGGGGTCTTGTGCATGCCTGCTGAGGGCTACACCACTGATTAACTATAAGGACTCAGCCTGGTGTGGTGGTGCATTCCTATAATCCCAGCACTGGGGAGGCTGAGGCAGGAGGATCGTTGTGAGTTCGAGACCAGCCTGGGCTACAAAGTGAGTTTAAGCCTAGCCTGAACTGCATAGTGAGACCCTGTCTCAAAAAGACAAAAATGAAAAATAAAAATTAAAAAAACGAACCTTAATATCTGCAGGCAATGGGGCACACCTATAATCCATGCTGCGCAGGAGGCTGAGGCAGGAGGATTGAAAGTTGAAGGCCAGTCTGTGTAACTAAGAGACACCATGTCTTGAACATGAAAGGGACTGTGGATGTAACTTAGTCATAGAGTGCCCCTGGGTTCCAATTCCCCAGGACTAAAAAGAGAAAAAGAAAAAATTCTAACCAAAGGGGCTAGCCCAATGTCTGTTGAACAGTCACTCAATATATGGTTATTGTTACCAACATCATCAATACAAAGAAAAAGTCCTTTGGTTACAAGGCAGTTTCATTTTTGTTTTTGTTTTTGTTTTTGTTTTTTGAGACAGGGTCTTGCTACGTAGTTCAGGCTGATCTTGAACTCACAGCAATCCTCCTGCCTCAGCCTTCCAAGCCCTGGGATTACAGGTGTGTGCCACCATGCCCAGTTACAAGGCAGTTTTAAAGTGAAGTTTTAGAATGAAACCATGATATGAAAAAAATTATTTTGTCAGAGCATTTAAGCCTCGGATCTGCAATTCGGCTCTCCTTAGAGTCCAATTATTGTGGCTTCTCCGAAGCTCTCTCTCCAGAGAGAAGCCAGAATAAGCAAGCACCCAAGAGCAAAGGTGGATGGAGACAGCGTCTCCTGGCAGGGCCATCTGCAGGGACCAGCAAGGGCCACACCTCCACCCTGTGGGGTGTGGGCAAGAGAGCCCACAGAACCACCTCACTGCTTTTCTGTGGGACCAGCCAGAGGCAGGAGGAGCTTGAGGTGGATTTTGGCAACTGGAGAGACTCCATCGGCCGTGACCGGCTCTCTGTCACCTGCAGGCAGACACGGGTCATCTCCATGCCAGTGGCCCCTGGAATCACTTCCTGTCCCCAAGAACCGCAGGGGTGCAGCCCAGCCCTGGCCGGAGCTGCTGGGGAGAAGGCGTCCTGACAGCCGCCCACGAATACCTAGCTTCTCCCGGAGACCCCGGGTTTGCCTTCGGGGTCCCCGTGCAGGAAATGAAGAAGAAATGGGGACATGTGGGCTGAGAAAGCTCACGGGGAGGTAGGAGGTAATTAGATTAATTAGCAAAGGGGAGCCGCGGCGGTGATTATTACTGTGTTGCCCTTCCGTTCTGGCACAAGCGGGTGCCTGGTTTTTAATATTTACCGATGACTCATCTGCTCGCCTCTTCCGCGCTCCCAGAATCCGCGTGCTCCTCGGAGGACTGCTCCGAGCTTTTCTGCAATGGCGACATGAATTTGTCTGCCTGTGGTGACACGCATTTGTCTGCCTGCTAAGGACCCGATACTCAGTCTCCACGCCACGCGTCCCGCAATCTCAGGACCCACAGGGCTGTGTTCCGGGTCCCCCTGCACCCCATGCTGGGGACGGGACTCAGGCCCTCCCCACTGAGTAGCCCTCCAGCGCTTTTTATGTTTGATTTTGCCCCACGCCTGACTCAGGAGCTACCTCAGAGCAGTAGCTGATGACTTTCACCCCCAAGATGTTCTCTTTCCCACAGCCTTTCCCCGAATGAATTCGGTGGCCGTGATCTGTGTTGTCTCAATTTAGGAAGCTGCACACAGCTGAAAGGAGGGAGCCTTTTCCCGGCTTTCCAGCTGCAATCCCACGGGAAGCAGAAAGGATGGTGCAAAGACAGCACGGGGCTTCGCAGAGCCCCCTCTACTGCAAGGGACCAGAGCTGGGCTGAGCGGGGGAGTGGAGCCTCAGAAGCTTGTGTCTTCCAGGTCCTGTGTGTGCCCCCATGCCTGGAGCAGGTGTTTAGGGGTGGGGTTTAGGGATGAGGACAAGAGGAGAAGAGTTCTTTGATAACCCGCTCCAGTGACTCCAAAGAGGTCGGTGCAGAGCTGGGCGTGGTGGCGCACGCCTCTAATCCCAGCACTCAGGAGGCTGAGGCAGGAAGATCTTTGCAAGTTTGAGCCCAACCTGGGCTACAAAGTGAGCTCAAGGCCAGCCTGAGCTGCATATTGAGACCTTGTCCCCCTAAAACCAACCCCCCCCCCCAAAAAAACAACCAACAAACAAAAAACAAAGAGGTGAGTGCAGAGCCTGGTGTGGCAGAGTATGCCTGTAATCCCAGCACTTGGGAGGCTGAGGCAGGAGGATCACCTCAAGTTTGAGGGCAGCCTGGGCTATACAGGGAGTCCAAGGCCAACCTGAACTACATAGCAAGACCCTGTCTCAACAAAACAAAACCAAACCTAAAAAACAAACAAAAAAGAGGCTGTGCAGCTATCCCCTGGCAGCTTTGCTTTTCCCATGGTGCTTTGCAATGGTCACTCTGGGCGGGTGATGGTGGTAAAGACGGGAAAAACTTGCAATCCGCAGAGTGGAGGGGAGCATTCGGATTGACTGATAATCGGCTGGCTGTGGTGCTGGGGATGCAACCTGGGCCTCGAGTGTTCCTAGTGAGGGCTGCACCTCTGAGCTGCACGCCAGCTCTCGGGTCACTCACGCTGTGAGGGGGCTGTGAGCTGTCAGCCTATCTATGCCGGGCGGGCAGAGCAGGTGCTGTCCACGCTCCCAGGCCTGGCCGCCACACCGGTCCTTAGAAATGAAGTCTCCTCGGGAGGAAAGCTGGGGGCGGAGGGTGAGCCTAGCACGTCTAATTGCAACCCTCAATAATTGCTCCTCTGGTGAAGCACAGGAAGCCACACAGACCGGTTTTGCGGGGCAGGGACTGCTCCCTGAGCTGAGTCCTAAGGGGGCATTAGAGATAACGAGGTGTTTGTGAAGGTGGAAAGCAAATGCGGTCCCCAGGCTGCCAGTTACGAGAATCCCCCGGAACCACTTTCGCAACAGAGTCAAGAGGGAGGCGGCCGGGGACGGAGGACCCTGGGGAGGGGCTGCCCGCGCAGCGCCAGATGAGACCGGGAAGAGCCAACCGGGAGAAACAACATGGAGGAAGACGGCGCTGACTTCGCTGAGCAAGCTTGGAGCAGGCTCTGGAGAGAAAGCAGAACTGCAGCAGGTAGAGAAACAAGGAACACGTAGACACAGAGACAGCAGACGGAGGCAACTTCAGGAAATGTATCTGTCTCTCAGGCTATTCCTGTTCCCCAGTCCTAGTCCTAATAAATTTTCCTACTTTTTTTTTTTTTAAAAAAGAGCCTGGTGTCCTGGCGCACACCTATAATTCCAGCACTTGGGAGGCTGAGGCAGGAGGACCCCTGCGAGTTTGAGAGCAGCCTGGGCTACAAAGTGAGCTCAAGGCCAGCCTGAACTGCAGAGCAAGACCCTGTCTCAAAAAAAAAGACAAAAGAAAAAAAATATATATATCTCCAAAATGT